GCATGTTACCTAGGTAGGTAGGCCGGTATGTTGGGAGTTGCCTAGAAGTAAAAGGAGTCAGCACCATCACCGGTCTACGCTCAGGCCTTATCGCCTATGTGTGAGATAGATAAGTGTATGCCTACCTACCTACCCAGTCAAGGTGTTGCTGTAGGTATGCCTAATATTTGAAAACCAGTAATAGCACGGTCCTCCGGGCTTCCTTGTTTAACTAGAAGTCTGCCCACCCCATCCTTTCTCCCGTTTCTTCCCCCTTACATCTCATGGAAGCGAAGCTTCTATGATGAGGTTTTTCAATGTACCGACATTGAGAAAACGACCTTTCTCTCGTTTCTTCCTTCTCATCTCTCATGTATTGAAGCGAAGCTTCAATAATGAGACTTCTTTCTTTCCCTCTTGCATATCATTGGAGCCAAGCTTCAATGATGGGTTTCTCAATCTACATTGTACATTGAGAAAAACGACCTTTCTCTCGCTTCTTCCCTCTCATATCTTATTGAAGCTTCGCTTTGATAATGAGTTTTCTTAATGTACAATGTACATTGAAAACGACGTTTCTCCCGTTTCAAAGATATTGTCAATCTAAAATAACAATGTATAAGAATAACTATATACAATCATATAACTAACTATAGAAAAATATATCTACTTAATGAAACTATTTCCCCCCACGATATGATAAGTTATCTCGGTAGTTTTTTGTAATGCTATACTCCTACACTGTGAAAAAACCAACCCTCGTCTTCTTCGTACGGCCTCCAATTCCACCACTGCCACCATTGCCGCCGCCATTGTTCCCGATGTCGCCCGATACAGAGGCTTCTCTTTTTTCAAGCAGATGATGGATTAGATTTTAGAAGGGTTCATTCCAGGAAAAAAGTAGCTAGGTCCAAGCAGGTAAGAAAAATGTCGTGCACCCATACCCCTCACCTTGCCTGGTCACTTGTAGCCTATGTCAGAGGACGACTTGTCCCGATCCATCGATGATACTCACATATTAACACCTAAGAATACTACCCTGAAGGCTACTCTACCACATTATCAAATTCAAACATTATCAACACTGGCCCTTTTACCTGGACACTGACAGCTTGAAGGGTGCCGAGATCGAAAAGGAAACCTCCATCGACTTTTTTCCTTTGCGTCCTTGACCTGTGACATCTCGACCGCCTTTCCCCATTTAGCCAGATCGATCCTTTTACCGCCCTTTCCATTCACAATTGTGACTGGGTTGCAGACACTTATTCCTTGACAAATGATCTGGATGCCACCCGAATCGGTGTGGTGAACATCGAGCCCTCCAGCGCCGCCTTCGGCTTCCGTGTTCACCATCGCGGTCTTGTCTCCAAACATGTCGTCGTAATTCACCACGACGGGCCCGGTGGCTGGGTCGGCAATTCTGTCAGTTCTTCGGCTCCCCGGGAAGCTTAATCCCAAATCCAATCCCACTCCTCCATCACCGTCGGCGTCAGAGGTTTTGTCAGGTCGTAGGTTGCTTCTGAATCCCAGCCCCATATCTACTCGCAATCCCTCGGCGGTTTCTGGGGTGGGGGATCGCAATCCATCAATGACTCCAGATTGCAATCCCTCAAGGGTTCTCGGGGTGGGAGATCGCAGTCCATTGGCGACGGCTAGATCGGGGGCCCGACATCTATCGACGGCGCTTGAGGCGGGGGATCGCAGTCCACGGACGACGGCAAGAACGGGGGCTTGCAATCCATCGGACTTGAGGCCGGGGGGGAGGGGGGATCGCAGTCCATCGACGTCGACCGGGGCCCTCCTCTCAGTGTTGACATCTTCGGCGTCGAGATTATGAGGGCCGGGCCATTCTCTCCATCACCTCCTCGACCGAGTCGCCTGTCCCTCTCGGCGGTGTCCGCCTGAGGGTAGAGCGCCGGGATGCTGTCCTCTCCTTGATCATCTCCAACCGCAACCGGCTCTGGAGAAGAATTTGGGATTCCATGGACACTCCTGTCCCCTCCGCATGTGGGATAGCGGGGCCAGCTTGACTCCCCTGAGAGGCGGATAGGTTCTCGTGGGTGAGTGCTGGCAATCCAGGTGCAGCTGGTACCTGGGGGTTTGGCGGGTGCTGCGAAGCAAAAGGGGTAAAGGACGCTGATGGCTGTCCAGAATTTGAAGAAGGGCGCCATTCTTTGCTTTGGTCTTCAGTACAAGGTGGCTGGTCTTTGTCAGTAATTCCATGAAGTAAGTTGTATTTTTGGGCCTTGGGCGGCTTGGAAGGATCAGGGCGTCTGGGAGCCATATCTAGGTGTCTGGAGAAAAAAAAGAGAGAGAAGGAGTGGTGGGAGGTGGGACACTCTTTCCTGTCGGGGAGGGGGGAAGGGGGGGAAGGGGGGGGATTTATAGGCAGCGCCAGAGAAGGCCTGGAGAGGGCTGGTCTACCTTGATTGCTTTCCGTGCTCGTGAAGCGCTCTTCATCTTGTCAGGCAGGATCAAATTTGAGGCTTCCTGTGACTGACATATCTTCCGGAGACACCCGAACGTGCATACCACGCTTCTTATTACCTTATGTGTTCAGAATATTCTGTATCACGCTCTAAGGTCATAGGAACACAGTTCACCATGGTCAATCCCTAAT